GGTTCAGCATTTCTAATGTAGGGCCACCAATATCCTGTGTAATTGGTCCCCTATGTAGCAAAGGAAACTGCCCTTCGGCGGCGGCTAAATGGAGATAAGATAACACGCATTATCTACACGTGGCTTCCACATTACTCCTTCATGTATTTCAACAAAGAAATACTGTCTTCCAACCTATGCCAGGGATGCACACACCTTAGGAAGGGGGTCCAGTAAAACTTCTGTAGACGGACTGGCTTTAACACTTTATCTACTTTCCAAACTGAATCTTGTCCGACTTTCAGTTCCTGATCTTGTGCGCATTCTTACGTCGTTAAATTGGGCAATTTTCCTTCTTGTTTAAGGAATGTACTATGCTATCTATCCAAACTTTTCGTCACATGTTTTTAATTTGAATTTTAATATATGTTATCTCTGCATCTTATTCCCCACATACATGCTTCCACGCTTTTGTGCTCAATGTTCTATGCTTGGAGCCTGAACAATAGTCAAACCATATTGTTTCTTGCTCACCAGGCTTCATTGCACTCTTCAGCTCAGGCTTGGCCAGAAGTATTCGCATTGGCTGTTTGTTCATCTCGGTTATCTTGTTGTAGTCTGGCATTTTGTGTTTTGAAATAAGGCCTACCAGTCTGTCCCTACTTCCTTTGGCAAATAGCAGCCAACATCCGTTTCATCTCGGGTGTGCAAATTCCCCTGTGTCAGTGGCCTGTCATTCGACTATAAGTTGGGAGTCAAACAAAAAGACTATACTGCGGCTCCTTGATCGGGCTGCTACCAGCAGATTAGTCCTGGATCAGCGGCTCATACTCGCCCGCTCATTGTGTTTGAGCGCCTTAAACCCCAAACGGGAATGGTATTGTATCCAGTATCTGCCCATCTTGGCGTACAGTATCTACTCTTGCCCCCGCTCTTTATCGGTTTTTGAACTCCCCATCCACAAACATACTGTTACAAGGAGCTGACACGAGCTAACCGCTGATAACCTGTTTGCCAGATGTAAATATGCAGGGCCTGGAGTTTCGGTTCTTTTGTTGCTTTTTTGCTCTGTTGTCCTCTGCTGGGTTTTTTCTTGCTCACCTGGACATGCATCACCTAGTGGCTCAACGCGAGCCCGATGTTTTGAAGTGATATGACGAATGTACGAAACATCGCAACCATGTCCGCGCTATAGATAACGGTGATATAAAGAACCTGGTCGGGAATTGGCTCACGAAGCTCGGCCAAACTTGGCCATTTGAATTACGTTCAGAGTCTGAATTCCAAGTCATATTGGCCCAGTGGCCACTATCCCCATTTGGCTATCGTATCTGTTCAGATCTCCTTGCTGCAACAGGGATCAAGGGTGTTCCGTAACACTACAATTTGTGTGGGCTTGTGGAAAACAGTAATGATTTAGTTTCTTGGAAGCCATTATTAAAGCCAATGTAACTTCTCTAAGGAGTAAAGATTAGTGGTCTCTGCATCTGCAAGGGTGTATACTTACGTTTAGTAAACAGCCACGTTTGTTCTCCATTTTTCAATTAATTTCTCAGATTACCACTGCCACTTTTACTTGTATGTTTTCTTAAATTGCCAAGTAATTTAAGAAACAACTTCCTCTCCAGGTACTAGATTTTGAGAGAACTGGAGGTGTGGTCAAATCTTCTTAGGTCGATCAAGGCGGCTTTCGCATTCGTCGGTTCCATAAGAAGTTCTGATGGCTTTTCATTTACTAAGCTTGAAGAAAGGCTACATTATCAGAATTCTGCTTATGAATTCTGTATTAGGGCTGTAGCCCTTCCAGTCAACATCTTGCACTGTTTTGCCGATGTTGGCTCTTCAAGTTTCTAAGATAGCCTTGATCTGATCTGGGCTTGCCCTTCAAGGCCCCTTCTGGTTACCAAATATCCTAAGAACTTACCAGACCCAACTCCAAATGTACACTTTCGATGCATTGAGTTGGAGCCGATATGTTTAAGGATGTCAAAAAAACTGCTTTAGGTCGCCAGGATGACCTTCAATTCCTTTGGTCTTCACAACTACGTCATTCGATGTAAACTTCCACTGTTCTGCCAATTAGATGTCTGAAACATCTTGGTTACAAATCTCTTGGTTAAGTTGCTTCCTTGTATTTTTCAATTCAAAAGGCCATTTACTCTGTAGCAATATAGCCCTTTTGGGTGATGTAATGCGAGTTTTTTCTCATTCTGGCTACGGGTACATAGCTATCTGATGTACCCCCTATAAGCATCCAAGAAGCTGTCCTTCTATGGCCTGAAGTGGCATCACCAGCTTGGTCAATCTTGGCGAGTATGGAGCTGTCTTTATGGACAGCCCCTTGTTCAGGCTAGTGAAGTTCCACACAGACCCCTCTACTCTCATTCTTTTTCTTCAAACAACCGTTATTTGATAGCCATGTCCGGATAACTATACTCTTGAATGGCTTCTGGCCTCTAGAAAGTCTGTCACTGTCTTCTTCTACTGCCTTCAAACGCTGCATCAACATTGGCCTTCTGGCTCGTTGGATTACAGGTTGGCTGTCCTGTCCACATTTCAATCTGTTTGCAAGTGACCCTCGGGGGTCCAATGCCAGCATCTCGGTTAGGCGTCAGGCCAAACAACCTCAATGTTTTATTCTTCAAGAACGGCCTCCCACTTTCTTTTCTTCTTCCTCGGCCAAGCCTTGAGTCGAGAAGAAGAAGCGTGTCTTCGTCCTCTTGCTGGACAAGACTTTCTTTGGGCTTCGCTCCACTTCTTCTCGCTTGGCTCCTTTGCCGACGTCTCCAGGAACTCCACGTCTCATCCTCTCAACCTCTGCTGGTTTTGCTTCCCGAATGTTTGTAGGAAGATTTCATTTGCTGTCATGGGAGCAATTCTTTGCCTGCACTGATTCCCCTCTAACCTCCTCTATCCCATGCTCTGTTAGGAAATCGCGAGCAGCTGGTGCAATTTGAGGGAAACAAACCTCCATACATGCAGCCATGGTCTTTCCCAGAAATTGCATTGTAAGAGGAGGGTTGGTCAATTATGGTGAACTTTTAGTCTTCACCCTTCTTGGTGACAGCCTAACCTCTAAGCTGCTGCCCGGGGCCATGTCGGCGTTCCATTGAACCCAACCATTGGGCCGTTGGACTTGTTC